CAGTGAATCATTCTTAGTGAGTTTATCTGGATATCTACTTCTTGATTTTTGCATTAACGTAGCAATGAATCAAATAGTTGCTCTTACTTATTTCGTGAAATCATAAAAAAACCTATTACTTGAAATTCATAAATAGAGTATAAAAAATATATACAAAATATGTGTTAACTTCTAACAAGCAAAATTTATAAAGGAACCCAGTAACAATTGCGGCTGAATTATTCGTGTAATAATTAGACGAAGGAATTTTAAAGGAATTTGTTATTACCCTGAATACGAAGAGTTGTCACGTGTTTGATAATCAATTATTAATAATACATTATCAAATGCATTTATAGATTATCGATTTTAATTTAATTCAAATATATCTATCACATATACGTTACGTTATACGATATCCCTGTAAAACAAACTCGTTATTCGAGTTAACATGTTGTTTGTTTGGTTTAGATGTATACATTCACTATTGTATACAAAAAAACATATTTAATTTCACAAGTGGTACTTTAAAATTGGCATTGAATGCTAAAACGAGTTGAAGATCTTCAACATTTGTAATTCTATGAACTAACAAATCAAATACGACCGATCGATTCGGATGTCGCATATATATATATGTGTGTGTGTGTGTGTATATATATATATATGTTCTCTGACTAGCAAAACAACAATCACTCCAACAATAACAAAGACGATAAAACGCGCTATAAATAATAACAACATTTCATTTAGAATCCAATGGAAAACAGGACACATTTCTACAAAATTCCATATCGAACTCCAATAATCGTTAACAGAGCTTTTCTTCTTCAAATATCGTGCGTATTCAGTTTAATTCGATCGATCGTTCGCAATATAATAGCCGTTGAAATTTCAATTCCTACGTAGTATCGCGAATATTAAGAACCGACACTTTAGCCAAGGTACACTACATACGAGAAAGTAAGTGAACTACTAAGTGAAACGATCATAACGATCACTTGCGAGGATAAGTTTCTACACCGACGTATGTCATTGGAAATCTATAGTCCTTGGATTCGACGTTATCAACAGGAAGAAATCCAGGATCGCGTCGCGTGTATCAATCATGTTGGCAGTTATCGAATTGTTTCTTCGACCGTGAACGGATACATTTTGGAATGTTTTACCGATCGAGCGAGTATAATCTCGACAGATCAACGACGCGGCGACGGAAAAAGGGCGGGAGCACTAAAAATTTCACGACAACGATCTAGCGTCGAGAGAACGCGCGTTTTTCTCTAGTATTTCTCAAATCTTGGACTTTTCACGAGGAGCGGTCAGCCGTGGGTTTGGTCTTTGGCTTCCGTCCAAGTAACTTGCGAAAGGAGGAGGTCCATCTTGACCGACTGAACCCCGTGGTGCTTTGCTCGTCCGGCTCGCTGCAGCTGAGCGACTCGCTGATCTTCCTGCTTTTGCCGCTGCTGCTGCTGGTGCTACTACCCCCATTTTCGTAACATCGTGATCGTCGATCTCCGATTTCCGAAGAAAACCTGAACGACGTGAAGGAAGAAGTCGATCGATTAGAAATCGTTGAAATCGAATGCGCTGCTGCGAGATTCGAATTACAGATGCCAAGACGAACCCTGAATCGGATGAGAAAGCTCTCGCGGTAGCTGGCGCGCTCGAGTTGGCCGATGAAAGCGATATCTCCGCAACAGGGGTACTCGGATATGCCTCGTCATCGGACGCACTGTTGCTACTGGTGGTGGTGCTGCTGTTGCTGCCGTTGCTTCCACCGGCACTGCTGTCCACGCTGGAGTCGTCGATGAAACTTATCTCTTGATCAGCCAACGGTGAACTGGTCCTTTGTCTGCGCGATGTCGGTGTCGCAGACGTTGCGCTAGGTCGCAACCAAGTACGCAGGTCCTGCAGCGGCGCTTGAAGGCACTTGAAAAGATTTCCACTGAAACGTTTGTAAACACGATGAGCAAAGCCTTTTCTTCCTCGCTACGAAATCTTTCTCTCGATGATCCATCAATATATACGTTCTCTAAATTTCTTTTCTACTACTACACTACAACAGATGTATATATATATATCTGTTACCGAACTGGCCTAACTAGGTCAGGCTAGGTTGGAAACTTTAGTTTGACTCTTGTGGATGCCAAATAAGTAAAGAACGTGACGTGGGTTTAGGTTAGGTTTAGGTTAGGTTTATCTGAGGGAGTGGGGATGGCTCAGTCGGTAGAGCATCAGACTCTTAATCTAAGAGTCCAGGGTTCGAGCCCCCTCGGGCGAAAAAAAAAGGTTAGGTTTATCTGCTGATCCATGTTTTAAAATATGCCATTCGCGAGTTGATTATTAACACTAGAACTATCAAGACGAAGCTAATTCTACTAAATCAGTCAAAATGACTGGTCTTTAAAAAATACGTATATATTTATTATACATATGTTATATATATTTTTGATTTATTACTTTCTTACAAAAGAAATCCCATGTTATGTGGTACAGCTAATACCAAATTTGTCAGGTTTATTCGGCAAATATTGAAATAAATCTGCATCTGGCTTTAGATGGAAAGAATTGTTTGTCAATTGTGGTATTTTCACCTAGTTTGTAGCAACTCTGACTATTTCGAATAAACTTATCTCATGCAGCTGATATCAAAGCAAATTTATCACTTTGTAAACGTTGACTTTGTCACTTTTTTTTTTTTATCAAAGCGAATAACTCTCAATATTTCGGTAAAATCATTTCACGGTGTTGGAAAAGAAATTTGGTCCCCATTTTCTGTAAAAATTGTAAAATCAGTCGTTTTAACTGGTGTGGTAGTTCTAGTGTTAAAGCTTACGTTATTTCCATTCTTTCTGCCTGCATTCTTCTCTACATTTAATTGATAATGATCTATACATATCTTGTGAATAAATTTTACATTTTGTTAATGAGACTGATGTGCAAATATCGCGCCGTGTATATATATTGATAGTTTCATGTGAGATAATAACGCGTTTCTCTCACGCTTGACTCGTGCTGCTGTGTCGACTTACTCGTCGCGATAATCGTCGATCTCGGCAAAAGTGCGTTTGGCGTACAAACACACGGAACACCGTCGTCGACGGCGGCAAGATGTAGCGTGTAGAGTCGCTGCACGAAGGTGTCTAGCCGCGTGTCTCAGCGTGATCGTTTCTCGAGTCAGGGCAGCAACACCCTCCTCCCGTCTACGCCTCTCCTCGCCCAATTCTCCCTGCTCTATACGCAGCTTCTCTTTTAAAACTTCATTCTAGGGACGGTAGAAGGAGAGAGAGAATGAAGTAACGTCATCGTCGAGACAGAGACTTCTCGTGCTGTTCGTATCGTATAATTATCATGGTCACCTCTCTTTCAAGAGCATCGCGCTCGGCACGGATAACAGTGGCCTGCCTGACAACGTCCTGGCGAGCTCGTTCGAGAGTCTGCCTGGTGATCTCGTTCTGGGCCAGTTGCATCTGCAGACGACGCAACGCTATCTCGCGTTGCCTCTCCAGCCGATCCCTCGCAGCCAGGCAACTGTCGTGCTCTGTCTTCGCTCTCTCCATCTCTTCCTCCAGGCGGAGGCTTCGTTCCAGCTGCAGGAACAGCTCATCCTCCTTGCCACGCAATTCGCCCTCGCAACCCTCCAGCCGCTTCTCCAACGATCGCCGAGTCTCCTCCAGCTTGTCCCTTTCAGCCTGGAAACGATCGCACAAACTTTTACTATTTTTATGACCCTGTCTTTTATTCTTTCTTCCCTCTCTTTTGCAGATCCTATAGATCAAAATGATTCATAATTTTTGTTATATTATTTTCTAAATATTATTAATATTATTGTTGTTAACAATTAAATATTAATTCAAATTTCCAAGATCCCAATTAAATATTAATTTAAATTTTATATTAAATACAAAAATATATTAATATATTTTTTTATATTAATTTATTTTTGTATTTATATTAATCAATTTTTTATATTAATATAAAATTCTATAGGGTCTTATCGTCCCATAAAAAAGTTTTAACATTTTTATTGAAATTCATAAAATATATATGAGGCAGAATATATTTCATTAATCCTTTCATTTAAAAATCAATTGATTATGTACAGTCTATTATACTGCAGCTATTTAAATTTCATTGGGCAGATTGACTTAAAATTATTTTCAATAAGACATGTTTGTGATAAACAGGTGAATATATTTAATTTGCCTAATTCCTTTTATATATATATATATATACATTATATATATATATATATACATTATATATATATATATACATTAATAACAATATTAATGATTAAATTAGTAATATTTATAAATAAAAATA